GATATATTATTTATATATCATAAAATATAATCTACTTTCACACATTATCTGCCTGTTGTTGAGATCAGACGTCACATTCAGAAATCTGAACCATCCTCAGCAATGGACACTTTTTTACTTTTTTAATACTTTATAAATGAGAAAAAACAAGTGAATTTAGCAGGAGGAAAATGTATTTGAGACCCAAACAAAATCTCCTTCTCACGACCAGATGAATGAAAGTGTGTCTGCTTAAATGCATTTATTATGCTGTTTAATTTAACTACAATAACCTTGGTACAGACAGGAACACAGATCCTAGGCCAATCACACAGAGAAACAACAGAAACCAGTGTTTCCCTATCGTATTTTTCTTGCAGTTAAAATATTCTCAATTTTTCAGCACAATCAAATCAAGCTAGTTAGTTAGTGTTGGACTGTAATCAAACTCTTTGAAATTAAGTTTATTAATCTAGAACTTGACGATCTGATCGCCTGTTTCCGTACACTGCCCCGTATTTCCCCCGACGCTCTTTGTGAAGCGACTGCGCCTGTAGCAGTAAGGTATATCAGTCCTCTGTGGGTTCAAACACTTTAACATAAGCAGATAAATCAAATGAACCTCTGCAGAAACACTCATCATCACTTTCCTCATATCCATCTTTTTTTTTGTTGTTGTTGCTCTTGTAACCCCGCCCCCTCAGGCAAGCGGCGTTCCCAGCCTCCCACGGGCGGATGCAGCCAGATAAAGCGCACAGTGCGGCCGAGCAGATGCTGTCAGACTGCTTACCCAGGCCGGCGCGCCGTCTCCGGAGGCGAGCCGAGGCCGTGAAACGCAGGAACGCCTGCAGTGAGCGCTCTGCCACTGCCAGGCGCACAGATATTGTCTCAGTGTGTGAAAGACCCTCCGGTTCAGTTTCACAACTCCTGCTTCCTCTGGGACCGCAGACCTCCAGCAGGCGCAGGAAACACAAAGGCTAAATAACCACAGCACAAGAAGATGCTCACACACATTCATAGATGATCTTTCTGTGTATAAATCTGTGTTTTACAGAGCTCTACGTCTTTTATCTGCCCCCCAAATGCAGTTCTTGCATCATTCTTTCATTACAGCTGTTTGGCTGTTTTTGTCTAATTGTGTGTTCAGACCAGAGAGTCCATTCAAACAAGAATAGAAAAATGTTACGCTGTGTTTCTTTCAGCCTTTCAGTGCTAAGATTGACACTGAGAATCACAAAATTGAGATAAAACTTATTCTGCCGTCTGTGGGCAACAGGAGCTCTAACATTCAAAGTCTGTTTCTGTACAGAGAAAGAACAAAAAAGGCTCCCACGCTTTTTAAGAAATAATTTTTGAGGACATTTACTTTGCCAGATTTCTCAGAGAAAGTTCGTTCTGCTTATATTCAGTTAGAAAATCGCAGAGCTGTTGGCCGAAGAGTTAGCTGTCTTATTAGCTATCTGTACCCGGGCCAGCAGCTGGAAGGACAGGGGGAGTTCAAACACGACTAGCGTACCAGCAGAGGGACCCAGCGGCTCCAACCAGGACTCTGACTCTTGGGATGAAGACAGTGAGTCGACTTGAGCTTCTTCTCCACAGATGATTCGAATCACGACTTTTCGGGGGCAGTTGAACGGGGAAGATACTCGTCCTTGGCGAGGGCAAAATAACAACATCAGACAACGTCAGACTGAATAATGGCGTGGGAAAGTCAGTCAGATTATCTCCTGCGCGAAGGAGAACCTGTGACACCGAATCCGGATTTAAAACCAGTGGTTTGTGACGCCCATCTTGGGCCGAATGTTCCCGACACAAACGCAGCACTGGGGTAATAACGAGCCTGCGATTGTGTCCGTGCAGCTGGTTGTATGAGTCGCAGTATGTCAGTGTGTGTGTGTGTCACAGTGGGTTAGCTCAGTGACCTTTGCCCTCAGGCCCGAAGCATCAGCATCATGCGTGAGCAGAGCAGCTTCAGCACAGGAAGCAAACAACACTGTGATCAACATCACTGTCATCACTGCTCGCTCGCTCATCTCGCTCGCTTTCATCCTCCAGCAGCTTCTCTCTCTCTCTCTCTCTCTTGGCCGATAACTCAGTCGCTCTCAACACTGTTGACTCTCCGCACAACGCGAGGAAACATCACACATCCACGTCATTAAAGTCCAGGTGGAATTAAAAACTGTGAAAAAAGATGCACACAAACTCAATTTCTTTGTATTTTTATATCGTTTTATCTTCCTGTAAAACAACGCGTGCTAACGTCAGCATGAACTAACTGATTCCAACCAATAATATCTGACATTCACTCGTCAAACAATCTTCAACTTTTAGCCACACAGAGTAAAGATTCATTACTTAACTATCTAGCTAGTGGAGCTCACTGATTTGGGTGAAACTGGATCAGATTTAATGGAGAGAATAATGTCTGGTTTTCTGAAACTGAACGGGGCTCAGCAGCCTCCAGTGAACACAACCTCAGAGACAGACAGAGGACAGTTTGACGACAGCGGGTGATTTATGGAGTTTCCTGGTGGACAGTAAGGTTAGATGCTGTTATCTTGTGCAGCTAATGTTAGCAGACTTAGTCCCGAGAGTGGCAGGATCCGAACCCGTCACTAGAACCACCTCAGTGCTTTATTCCCTGTCAGTTTCTGCGTGACCTTTTCTCTCCGCGCCTCCATCTCACAAAGTTCCTGTTAGTTAGTAAGTTCCATACAGCATTATCTCTCTCTCTCCATCCCCCTTTTTTTATCAAACATCTTCCTGCCCTTCATTTTTTAAAATCCATTTCCGTCTCTTGCTCAATTTCCTACTTTCTTTTCCTTTATTTTGTCTCCTCTTCTTCTCTCTATCTCTTTATTCTACATACAATCTTGTTTCCCTGTCTTTTGCTGCCCCATCCGTCTCTTCTGTCCGTTTCCTCTCCTTATCCCTTTTTATCTCCCACTTTTCCTCCTTTCCTATCTACTCACATCCCATTATTTCTCTCCGTTATCTTTGCCCTCGTTCCATCTTCCTATCCTTCTGTTTTTCCTCTCCCTCCCTCTGTCCGTATCTTCTCTTCCTTCCTCTCGTTCGCCCGTCCTCCTTTTCTGCTTCACCTCTCCTGAACCTCCTTCCTCTTCCTCTTCCTCTTCCTCTTCCCCCTGTAGCATGTTTCCTTCACCGAGCAACGTGTCAGTTGGCTTCCTGACTTAGCTGTCTGTTAGCCTGCTAGCTAGTGTTTGCGTCTTTAGACAGGTTTCACATGGCATGGTCAGCTAGCTTCAGGCTAACTCGGGCTAACTGTTGTCCCAGAGGCAGCGCTACAGACAGACAGACACACACACACACACACACACACCAGGCATTGTCATAGCGGTGTCATTCAGAGTCTGTCAGCGTCCTGCTCTCAGCGTGGACAGTCAGCACAGAGACTAGTCCTTTCTGACATGTCAGACAACACTGCGGTACCGGCAGCAAGATTCAAGGAGACGATGAAACACAACAGCGGAGCTTCTTTTTGCATCAGTACAAAGTTTAAATGAGACAGGAGTCTCACACTGGAATATGTTGTGAATAATAATGTTTATTCGGGGAAGCACAATGGTCCCATGTCTGCAGCGATAAACATTGTATAGACTTATAACTGTGAGTGTTGGGTACCAAACTTTTTACAGTACTTTTAAGGGTGCTGACCTAATTACGTCGGTACTGCAGAGCACCGATTTATGTTAAAAAAAATCGGTGCCACATTTCGGTAGTGAATCTCTGTGAGAGAGAACAGAGAGAAAGAGAAATATATACTACTACAGTAAACTACAGTCTCGGCTAACGTTAGCACGCCTGCCACCAGCGCCGACCCTCCAGGTACAACGAAACCTTTAAATCAGGCATCGACATCTTCAGGTAATTAATTAGCTCTGATTGGACAAGATACTGTTGGTGTTAGCTTACAGTCTTACTGCCAGTCCAACAGCCAATCAGGACGATGTCCGATTGGCTGTAGTTCAGGTGATTATAAATATAATTCCTCATTCATTCCTGACCGTCACATTAAAGCTGCTCACTAGTTTCTCTCCTCTGCTGCCTCCGGAGCGGCTCTACCTCCGAGGAGAGTATCTGCAGAACTAAAGACTCAACCTGCTGTTTGTTTGGTTTCCGGGGGGACATAATGGAGCCAAATCTGCCTCCATCTTTATTCCGTTCACATCTCCAAACTGTCAGAAAACACTGGTTCTCAGTCGCTATCAGACTCAGATGAATAGATGTTATTATTTAGTGGTGTGTGTGTGTGTGTGTGTGTGTAGTGCTTATTGAAGGTTAGGAGTGACACTCCACCATGTCGGATGAGTGACAGGAAAATAAAGAGACAGTGATGTGTTCGCCTCTTCCTCTCTGACAAAACAAAAGCTTTTCACACTCGTGTTTGTTTTAAACCTCAGGCTACAGAAAGCCCAGAGATATTTACTGTACGTTGAAACTGTTTCACACTCGTAGATATTAAACAATGGTTTATATTAAGATCTGGGCTGGTTGAGGGTCGTATCCTGGGGCTGATGGATGATGATAACATGATAAAGTGCCCTCCAGGGTTCCCTTCTGGTGGACCAAATGTGGTAAAGGGCCCTTTAGGGTGCCAACACTAACCCTAACAAAGCTGCACATCGTTTAGCACACAGACTCACACACGAGTTTCATCCTTTGTGCGGCAAAAGCACGAGAACATTTGCAGATGTTTGCCTTCTTCTGCCCGGAGTCAAAGTGCAAAGCTTAGCATCAGAACCGACCTGCTACTTGCAGTTACCTCTAAATCAATCCCAGACCTCAGTTGGCAAAAGATGTCAAAATGTCAAACAACCTTTTTAATGCAGTCAACATCCTTTTCACAATAAACTCGTCTGCTCATCGATTGACCTCCTGTCAACACAACTCATGTCAGCAGCCGTCACTCAAAACCCCTCGAATCCTTTGGACGAGCAGCGCTCTCAGCCGGGAGGAGGGTCCACAACCAGAACACCAAGAGAAAAATGTCCACTCACCCTGCGTCGCTGCCGTTCCCACAGATTAAGGCATCCTTGGCTCCCTCCACCTTGTAGAAGTTGTCTGGGGAAGAAAAATAAATTCCACTTTAGAGTCCAGTTTCTAATAAAGTAAATTTTTACTGATTTGGCCTCATTAGACCCCTCCTCAGACTTTATGGTAGCTGGGCTTGATTGACATCTCCTTGACCCTTCTGTCAGCATTCATTATGTAACGACTGCTGCACAGTTGTTGCACACTTGGCTTTTATTATGAAGTGTGTTTGTCAGTGAGCTTCTGCATCTGCAAAGCAAGACAACACCACATGATCTACCGGCTGTTTCTGTGCAAAATAAAGTCTCCATCCGTCATGGGTGATCATAGTCTAGTGTCCAAAAAATCCCACAAAACTGTGGGTGTTTCAGGTGCGTTCAGGTAACTTCCTGTGCTTCTTCTGCCAGGCGTTCTGTCTGCGCTACCACAGGATCGATAGACTCATCAAACTCAGCTCGTGTGTTTTGGCTGGTTAGACATCGTCTTGGCAGGAAAACAAAACCATTAGAGGAACTGCGGCTTGCTGAGCATTTGTTCGACACTTAACTCCGACCACGAGCAATTTCCAAGTACATTAATACACTTTTAACGTGAGCACACAGGGGTGCTTTACACTGAAGCTTTTAATGCACGTCGGCAGGAAGAAAACAAGTGCTTCTTAACTTTTGTTGTGGTTCGAGGATACAGTATTTATTGCCGAGGATGGGAGTAAATGTATTCAACCCAGCACCAGGAGTAGATACATGTCTTTTATTGTGAAAAGCTTCTCCTCTGTGAGTCAAACTTACACTGTAAAAAAAATCTGTAAGTTTCCTGTTGATTTTAAAGAATTTTGTAACTGTAAATAATCATAATTACTTAATTAATTAAAGATTTTTTCCTTTTTTTCACATAATTTAAATGTGCAAATATGTATTGTTTATTCAATAGATTTAACAGTTTTTGTATTCAAGTTTAACATGTTAATTAACTAACAGTAGAAATATATATTTTATTTTCACGACAAAAACGTTGAATAAAGTGAATAAGCATTGGTAAACTGTCCAAATACAAATAATAATTATTTAATAATAATAATTACTGTAATTTCACAGATAATGACTTTTATTACAGTTCTATAACTTTTAAAATTCACATTAAACTAAGAAAAATCAAATAATAACAGCACTCTGCTGTAAATTTAAGCCTGATCATTTGTATTATAACAGTGTTACATGTGTAAATATCTTTAAACATTGAATGTAGAATTAAACCTAAAACTGTATTTTTATTATAGAAAATGACCATAAATCAGTTATTTTCTGTCATTTTACAGTATTTTTTGCTGGATATTTACCACTTTGTTTTTTATCATTTCAGTGTTTTTGCAGTGTGCATGAACCTGACAGATGGGGGATCTCGGTATCAGATGCTGTGGCAGTAACTTTTGAACAGAAACAGTGACCTTAAATGCTGGCTTGACATTTTCATCCATTTGCCTTACGGGAACAGCATCTTTTATTCAACACACGATTCAGACCACATGCATTTAACTGCGCCCATTATGAGCAATTACACAGCATTCCAATAGAAACATATTAAAATGTTATTATCGCACTAAATGTACAGTACTCGGGGAAACAAAAGAAGCTGCTGCTCCCAGTCAAACCTCAGTTTGTCAGAGGGAAACAAAGCGTTCCGACATTTCAAAGTCGACAAAGAAAGCCCTGTTCGTTCCTTTACTGTGGCCGTACACGAGCAAAGGTTCCCCTTTTTTGACAAACAAAACAGGTTCTTTGGTGCTTCTATTTGGCTCAGACTGTGTCCGACCGACCGCTGCACCAAAGGCACTTAAGCTTTTTAGGAGCCATTCATTTGTTATCGAGTGCATCTGGGAGACTGCGTCCCCTGCTCGCCAAACAAAAACTTCTGATGTCTGAAGTGCTTTTTGTTCACCGGCTCAAAGTAACCACGGAGCCTTTACGCAGCGCTGAGATTAGTCACTGAGGCATTTTCTTCCAGAGACAAAACAGATACGAACTGTCTACTTAAAGTCATTACCTGAAACATCAGGTTCCCAAAACTCCCCCTCAAATAAATGCATATTAGCCCACGGACTGACATTTAATGAAGGGTTTTTTTTTTTCAGAGCGACCCCCCGTCTGAGAAGATTTTACAGAGCTGCAGAAACTTGGGAAATTGTCTCTACAGGACATCGAGAGAGTGGGCTTAATTTCATTTCTATTTAAACTCAAGAGCAGCAAATTACTCTGACAAGCCTAAACACACCTCCATCCTCCTCTCAAGCACTTTCATCTGCCAGAGACACATTTACATGATGAAGGTCTGCAGTTATCTGTCACAGTGAAATATGCTGAGACACTGTTAAACACTGGTTAATCAGCTCTCCAGTGAAGATATTAATTGGTGATTAATTTATTGTCAAAATGCGTTCAAATTCATCGGTTTACATCTTGAAAGTGGACAAAATCAGTTTGTATTAAGCTTAACAGGGTTTTTGTCATTTTAAAAAGAGAATTAATCTGTTCACATGGATGAAATGAGATGAAGATATTTAAAATGAATGTGTTTCTGAATGAACGTTAATCCTTGATTTAATAATCTTAATCTAAAATCCACTTAGTGGCTTCATCAGTGGACCAAGTTTGTTCAGTTTCATTGCTAAAAGTGCTCAAGAAATGTAGTGAGAATGTATAATTATATCTTCCACCAGTCGGTTTATTATTACGAACATGTATCGATGATGTTTAGCTGGATTTTGAACATGGATCTACTTTAATTCCTAGAGGAGCTCAGTATACTGTGTCATATAGCTAGTGTTTTGCAGATATTTGTTAAGACCCAGGTTGAACCAGAACATCTGGTCACAGTATCCAATTACCTTTGCTGCTGTCACAGAGTCACTACGACCGCAAGATGTTTGAACACACAAACCGGATCGCTGGACTCGCGTATACGTCTCTTTCATCTTTTAACCATCTTCAAAACGTGGTGGACGAGACAAACACAGCACAGATCTAAGTACAGGAAGAGACTCCAGGGGACCAGTGTGTAGGATTTAGTGGTCTCTACCTGTTGCAACTAACTGAACATCGCTGACGTCTGTATTTGACGACGGGCTGTGAAGCGTTTAGGAGAAACTACGGTGGCCGCAAAGCTGGCGAAAACCACCCAAGGCCCCATCTAGAGCCAGTGTTTGGTTTGTCCATTCTGAGCTGCTGTAGAAACATGGCGGCCTCAAAAACGTCTCATGCTAAGGTAACTAAACCACAATGATTCCTATTTTCAGGTGATGAATCACTAATGAAAACATACCTATAAATATTACATTAAATTTCTGATAATCGATCCACTTCAACACTGAACCTTTAAGAGTCTGTTTTTTGTTTTTTAACTTTATCTAGGAGCTTTCACTTTGTGTTGATGGTAGCAGCTCTCTCTCATTATTGATCTTGCTTGTTTATAGGTCATATAGAAGCATATGTAGGTTTAAGGGGTAATTTAAGGGGTAAACACAGGCTCCAGAAGTTATTGCCAGCTGTAAGCAGGAACATAATCTGAATGAAGAACTGATTCATTATGAAGAATCGTGTATGAAACTGCTGTTGACCAGTACATGGCGTCTGTTGTTATTTATTTATTGAACCCTCCAACAAGAAGCAGCGGGGACGACGGCTGCTGCTGCTGTCAGCCGGCTCTGACCACACAGAACAAACACGGCATGATGGGAAATGTTTATCATGGAGAACATCCACCATTGATCTCTCCCACTGAGGGCTGTTTTCAGATCAGCCGAACGGGACGAGCTCTCGGGTTTCACGGCAGCTTTTAGAGGTCGATACAGGAGCCTGCGGGGGACATTTGTTTGATGTGATGGATGGCAAAGTGGAAATGAATAAATAGAAGGTACATTAGCAAGAAGCAGCATGTCCCAACAAATCCCATTACTGTAAGCTCAAAGTTGCCTTTATTTTTGGGGCAGTTTCACCCTTTAACAGGAAGTAGAAACACTGCTGTGGTGGCTGTATTGCACTTGGCATCAATTGGCACTTTAATTTACTTAATTTGGTCAAAAATATATATATTTTGTTAAAACTTTATCGTGGCGTTTCTCCTACTTATTGTGGCCGGGTCGGCGATTTGGGGGCTCGTCCATTTGTTTGTTTTGTGAGGAAGTTCGTTCGTGCCTGAAGCAGACCAGGAGATAAATAATTACACATCTGTTTTTTGGATAATGAGAGTCTGTTTATCCCAGGGGGTATTTACTCTTCTGTGACGCAGAATTAAAGGTTTGCTATCGTGTATGTGTTTCTGTAGCTTTTTGTTTATTTCCATTGGATGAAAAGAAAAATACTAAATGAAGAGTCATAAACGTTTTTTTTGTCTTGTGTGGTCATTTATAAATGGTCAAATGGTTTCGGTTAACTGGGAAGTATTACAAAAGATACAGGCCATGTTGTTAGAGGTCAAACTGTGCAACGAAAGAGAGGATTAAATAGCATTTTCTTTGCAGATAACATATAAAAACAGCTTTATTTGTTCAAATCTAGAGCAGAAAGTCTTGATTTGTGTGCAGCTTCAAAGAGCAGCCAGAGAGATGAATAGTCCTTTACAGGTGTGTCTGTGTGAGTATTTACAGTAAGTCCTCTGTGTAATGAACCGTTTGTATAAAGGCTGTATTTATGAAAATGAGAGCCACACCCCTGCTGTTCTTTTTACACCAGTAATACAGTTCACACTGACCCCCAACGTGACACAGACTCAACGCCATCTGCACATGAACACGCAAGGTTTGTGTATTTTGTCTTAGATAAATAATATTTAAAAAATGTGACACAGAAGGAGAGAAAATGACATGAAGAGAGGACACAAGATAAAATGATTAATAAAAAGGAAAGATATAAGAACAGAAACGGAGTAATGGAATAAGGAAAAGAGAACGAAGCTCTTGTGTGTTTTGTTTTGATTTTATGTATTTCTCTTTTTTCTTTTTTTGTAAAACAACTCTATCTGAAAACTTGGGACTTCCTGTAAACAGCGCTTATGATTTCCATTATGTTGTACTGTCCAAAAATGTTAAACAAACAAGCTTAAAAACAAAAGAAAAACAAAACAAATGCATTCTCCTTTCCTGCACTTAGATATGCTACATGCTAGGCTAATCTATGTTGAAAAGAATCTGATTGGAGCACACAGTGAAAAGGGGCGGGGCTTAAAGAAGGGGCATTTAAAGAAATAATCTCTCTGTTGTGATAATTGTTTCTATTGATTTCCAGTATTTTTAAATGTATTTTATTATATTTTTTTACGCTGTGTGCAGATTAAAATAGTGACACAGTTCAGTGTTTTGGTCAGAGGTGCAGCTCAGGTTTCATTTTTCATCCTACAGCATTAAGTGTTTCCTCAACCCTGACCTCGACCTCTGTGTGTGTGTGTGTGTGTGTGTGTGTGTGTGAGTGTGAGTGTGTGTTTATATCTGCTGTATGTACGTCCACATAACATATATAATGTTTCCTGGTCAACATGCCTCACATGTCAAACAGTGTGTACACCAACTGACCTCACATGACCTCCCTGTGTGTGTGTGTGTGTGTGTGTGTGTGTGTGTGTGTGTGTGTGTGTGTGTGTGTGTGTGTTATATGTCTTATATGTACTATGCTCCTGGTAAACTGCCCGGCCGAAACTGGTTGTACACACATCACGGGTGTGTGTGTGTGTGTGTGTGTGTGTGTGTGTGTGTGTGTGTGTGTGTGTGTGTGTGTGTGTGTGTCGTTATTGACGTCAGTGGCATCGTGGCATTGTCCCGCCCATTTATGAAACACCAGTCAGCGCTTCTGCACGGCACACACTCACACGCACACTTCAGGGCATCGAACAAGTGCTTTTGATGTTACTTTTTATTCTTTATTCTTCTATATTTTGGTTATTTTGGTTCATGACCACGAATCCAGATTCACCCCAATACACCCGAACAACAAACTAGCTGCGAAAACCATTTCTGATGATTAGATACATTATTATTATTATTGTTATTAGTTAGGCCAAAGATGGAGGTCAATGTCAAATACTGCAAGTCAGGAGTGAGTGCGATGTCCAATTATTCAGCAATGAAATCAGGAGTGGAGCCAGACACTGTAAACATTCGGGGTTTAAGCCCAAGCTTATCCTCCAATTTACAGCAGCTGTATGCAGCATTTTTTCAAACCAGGCGAGATAATAGAAGGCCTAAAAATCTGTACATCATTTGGGAGAAGCCATGATGGTTGCCCAGGAATAAAATCATCATCATTATTCTCCAACTGTCTTCATCATTCTGAAACCGTAACACAACCAACGTCGAGGAGGCTGAGGGGAAATGACACAAAGCTGAAGTTATTTTAAAACAAGGGCTCCCACTCTTATTAAAAAATCATTTTCCAGGAGTTTGCTTGACAAAACAGGGACAGCACAAACAGTATGATGTACCAGTAGGCCTAGTACAGACCCAGGTATAGTCCTACTCTATGTATCAATGCAGGTTCATGATGAAGTGTCTCAGGCTCATCACTACATTATACCACAGTTTGCTAAAAGAAAATGGTCAAATTCATCCAAAGTCGTTTTACACAAACTTCTGTATCTGTTGTGTCGTCAGTTTACTCAATGACGGTCTGGCTTTGTTAAAATCAGAATTTAAGTTCAATTAGCTGAGATACTCACATCAGAACAGATTAATTTCTTGAATGCAACACCCTAAAATCGAAATTAAATCGGTAGAAAAAGCTGCAATCTGCCACCCGCTGCTTTAAAAAGTACCCAAAGTGACTGCCCGCTCATTGTATGCAGCAGTTTAGAGATAGATTCTCACCCTCGTCGTTGATGAAGTCCTTCACGGAGGCCCAGGTCTTGTTGTTGCAGTAGAAGGAGGTGTTGGTGGGCAGGCTGCCGTTGACGCAGTGCGCCGTGCTGCGGACGCATTTCTGCCGCAGGTTTCCCATAAAGAGCTGCAGACCGATGAGGGCGAAGACGCTCAGGCAGAAGACGGTGAGGATCATCACGTCCGCGAGCTTCTTCACTGACTGGATGAGAGCGCCAACGATGGTCTTCAGGCCTGCCGGACCACCGGGGACGCAAAGACGCGGACAGGATTAATACATAGATGAATGTGACTGTGGCCATGAACCCTCATTTAGACCAACAGAGCTCAACTGTGAGGTTCTGGAAGTAAAAGTCCCATTCATGTTTCTAATTAAGGTTATTAATTAAGTTTTTCCAAGGGGTCGACAACAAAAGATGATTTAAAATAACTACTTTGATGCTCTGATGCCCCAAAACCCCCGTAGCAGGATCAGTTTTTGGACTTTCTAAAACCTGCGTACACTAACTGCTTCACTGTGTAAACATGTAGCTAGCTTAATGCTAAGAAAACAGCACTGAAAACACTAAAAGACAACCAAACATTGAAGGCGGTTAAAATATAAACGTGACATATATAGAGAGAAATATATATATATATATATATATATATATATATATATATATATATATATATACTATACTATGATACGCAATAGTTTATGGGATGAGTAGTTCCTTTACTCTTAAAATGAACTCTTTTGACCAGTTTTCCACACTTTTTTTGCTCTGATTCAAATGTTTTATGGTCATGATTCGATTAAAACTCTTTATATGAGGATTTTCTGAAACGTCAATGGAGTGAATGAATGGGAAACTCACTTCCTGAACCAGAGCCGTTCAAAAAGTGGGCCGTCACTGCAGAGCTCAATTACTAAAATCAGTCTTTCACAAAACATATGATGCAGAATATTAATTAATTACCATGTATTTAGCAAAATTCTACTTTAAAATTCAGAGTAAAAATTTTATAAAAACAAGCTGCTCGTTTAAACAAAAGGGTCACACATGTTAGACTTGTAAACCACAAAGATGGCAGCCACCTCCACTTAATGTCGTTCAAAATCCAAAATATTTCACTCAATTAGCAAAAGGCAAATGTTTTTAAATTGTCAATAAAATACTTGAAGACAGCAGCATATACTCAGTTTTTTATGTTTTAAATATATATATCTTAATATATATATCAAAAGGGCCGCCATCTTTAGGAAATAAATCACAAAATAACAAATTAAAGTTGTATAACTGCTGTTAGGTGAAAATCTCTTTATGTGTGGTTAAAAGATTCATTAAAGAAGATAAATTATAATCCATTCATGTTAATTTGTCACATTATTTTTTAGGGTTGGGGTTTTCATCTGACAGCAGCTTTAAGTTTCCCCCCCCAAAAAAAACCCGTTGCCACTGTGGGAAAAGGTCACCGTCATCATCACCAACAAAATCAAGCAAAACAGACCACAAACTCCTCCATTAACATTCAGATCAAAAAACAAACACACACAGGAACATATGGTAAAAACAGCAGGAACAAAAAACACTCAGAACACAAAGGGTGCAGACAAGTTGACTGTCCAAAGAAACCACCAGCATCTCTTTTAATTTCAGTGAATTCATTAGAAACAGACACACTGACAGATCGCATCCAAGAAGCTGGTGAACAGACTCGGGGTTGCGTCTGTAAGCTAATGAATGAGCAGTGTGATTACGTGTAGCTATGGCTGCAGTGATGGCATGCTGTCGACACGTTGCTACTACTGCGATATAGTTATAACATGTATTAGACAGTGTTATAACGAGGCCACTACCACGGCCAGTATGATCTAATCACATGTGTGAGATAACAACGCTGTTGGCGCTGCATGCTAACATGCACAGTGGAAACATACAGAGGCTAGCCAGCGACAGATATTAAGAAATTGTTTCACATTTTTAATTGTAATATGAGTAACACTGAGCTACGGTGGCTGGTGAGTGCAAAACAAATTTACAAACTCTGAAACAAATTTACAAATTCTGAAACAAATTTACAAAATCGTACGGAAAGGGAATGTTAACAGTCAGTTAACAGTCAGTGACTGACTGTTAACTGACTGTTAACTGACCCAGATAGTTTCCACAAAACGGGCAAAACATCATGACACTCCATATAAAACACACAACTCACCGTACAGTCTTTCCAAAACAAACCTCTCGCCCTTTCCGTACGATTTTGATTTTGTAAATTTGTTTCAGAGTTTGTAAATTTGTTTTGCACTTACCAGCCACCGTACTGAACAAACAGTCAGTCATCTCGCACTTAAACTTAGATAATTATAATAATTTAGGAAGTTAATGGTTCTTCATCAGATCCAGTTTTTAAATCAAGTAATAAGTTGTGCCCAAGTTAGTGTCCCTAATCCCGACGAAGCTAACTTTAACCAACTTAACATCAATGATTAGCTTCCCCAACATTAAACATTCATGTTTGAAATAGTTTTATGTTTTATTCATGTACAGAACGAGCCTGTCCTGGTGCATTAGAAGCCATTTTAAGTTGTTTTTAACTTGTGTATCATTGAGTTGTTTTTGTGTGACGTTGCCGTTAGCTTAGCCTCTGATGTCCACTCAACAACCAGTTATCAGGAAGACTTCAGTGCTTCTTTCTGCATACTACCGATTCATCAAAGTGTGTGTCAGAAGCAAACAGTATTCAGCAGGTAGTATGCAGGATGAGATTTAGTGCTTCCAGCAGGCTCCGGCCGAGAGAGGGGTACGTTTGATATTCACTCCCCCTGCATTCGCTTCCTCACCTGGGATGACAGAGATGGTTTTGAGCGCTCGCAGCACCCTGAACGTCCTTAAGGCTGACACATTACCCAGGTCCACAAACTCAGTCACATATCTGCAACAAGCCGGGAGACAGAAGCACAAGAACAGACACACACAGAAGGGTATGACCACACTGAGCAAACAACGAGCCGACACAGAGGGAAAGAAAAGATGGAGATACAAAAGAGAGATACAGTAGAGACAGGCCAGGTCGGACAGTGGAGGTTTAAAGCCAGAGACTGTGGAGGGGGAGGTGAAGTCAGATGGTCAAAAGCTGCTCACGTGGATGTAAACTGGAGACAAAGTCAACTCAGACCTCAGTTTCAGTCTAATATTATTATATTTAAAGCTGCAAACAACAATGGTGTCATTGTCAACAGATTAAACACAGACAGATGAAATCTAGTTTCTCCCCAGACCAGCGTAATCATGATTAATCAATTCATTGTTTGGTGAATTAGTCATAAATATCACAGGTTAGCCCGAGTTTATATCAACTGGTGGTTTTGTTCCAAATCCTAAAGTTATAATGTTTACTCTTTAAATCCTCACATTTGAGAATCGTAAAACAAATAAATTTAGCTTTAACAATTGATTAAAATTAGGAAAATGCTAGCTAAGTAGCTAACTAACAATTGGTGTAGATTAGCAAGCTAGTTAGCAAGTGTCTTACTAAATTTAAGATGTGACAGAAATTCTGAAGGTTTCAAAGATTAAACTGACATTATATTCACATCTGCTCATGTTAACAAAATGCTAGCTAAATAGCTCGCTAATATAAATAGCCTACATCGTTCCTAGTTAGCTATGTGGCTAGTTAGCCAGCTAATCTACTGGTTAGCTAACAACTAACAACCTGATGTAGATTAGCTGCCTAGTTAGCTAGCGTTTTGCTAACATGAACTCAAGATGTGATTATGTCACGTTTATCTTTTAACCCTCGTTAAAATGTGGTTGTCTTTTCAACAAAGGTTAGCTTAGCATGTAGCATTTCTACATACGGGAAAGGAGGAAGATGGTTCCAAAAAGGGGCGGGGCTTAGGAAGGGCCAATCCCAAATCAGACATCTCCGGTTCAGGATCACGTGTTCAGGCTTTTTACGTATCTGACTTTTCCTTCTTTACCGTCTCTTCGGGTTCAGATCAGGTGATTACACCCGTGACTCCTGATTGGGCGGAGAGTGGGAAGTGGGCGGGGTGTGGGGGGGGGGGGGGGGGGGCTGGTTGCTGCAAGACACGGCAGACACGGGACGAACAAGAGAGGACGTTCACGACGACGTTTACGATGACGAGTGTTTTGTTTGTTTTTGTTTTCTGTGCCTTGTCGCCCCCTGGTGGTGGTGAGGCCTTACCTGGGATGACTGAGATAGTTTTCAGGGCTCTCAGCACTCTAAAGGTTCTCAGCGCCTGCAGGTTCCCTACTTTGATAAACTCTGTTAACAGCCTGTAGGGGGCAGTGTGGTGGTTGTCAACATACAACAAAAGAAGAAAAACATAACAAAGTCTGAAAATACTGAGGTGATTTAAAAAGGTACAATACTGATTTGTTAGAGCGCCGACAGCACGTACGCCGATGTTCGGTCGGTTTTATGGTGCCGTTGGTCGCTGTAACAACCAGGAAGAGTATTTTTACAGAAAAAATCAAATGTTTGCATTTATTTGCACATTGTAGAGGATAGAAACATCTTTAAATAGCTGCATCTTCTCTTATACAGTTTGATTTTAGTCTATTATTATCAATATATTGACGCCTGTATGGGGTCAGACACTAAATGACATAGAAATTAATTATTAATAGTATGTAAAGTTGCTTTCACACTCTTTTGGAGAATTGATTTATATGATCTTATTGAATTTGATTTGTTTTTTGGGGCATTTGTTGATGTTTATATATATTTTTTCTTGCGCCCTCTAGGGGTCATGTCACGTACTGCATGGATATCTGCACCACTTTACATTATGCAGGATTTTTGTTTTGTTTTTCTATCGTTCAGGGTTCCCTCTCATATTAAGAAATCATTTTCCAGGAGTTGTGTTGACATTACAGGACAACACTTGCTCATAAACAGTCATATAGTTTACCAGTAGGTTGAATATTGATGCATTTAACTCCAGTTTTACTCCAACAGAAACATGACACAAATTGAATGAATCTTATCTCCTCTCAGCCTAATAAAATAAAGAGCAGAAAGTCCTTGATTGATACCGCTGTGTGTGTTTATTAACCACAACCAACAGTCGAGTTTTTATATTTATATATAAATATATATACTTATATTTGGTCATTTTAATCAATTTCCAGGTGAACTAGTCTCTAAATTTCCAGGTTTTCCAGGACGGATTGTGTTATTTAAGATAAAAACAAGCAGTCATGGAGGAAGAAATATACTAAATTCAGACTAATAACAAAAGTAATAATTTCCCTTTTAGACTGAATCAAACGAGGCCGTAAAGAGCTGGAAACAGGAAAAAGGGCACCAGATGACGGCGGCCATTTTGGGCCCCCCTATCCCGGTGTGATGGAGTCATCTGATCCCGGGGGTTGCTAACTGCCCTCCATTACGGCTCATATTTCACCGGCGTTGACTGGCAGGCTGATTGAATTACAGTGGAGGCGGGGCGGCGGCGGCGGCGCCCAGAACAGGCCGTTTAGATGCAGGTGACCAGCAGATAGAACCAGTGACACCAGTTCTGCTCTGGTGGTAACGAGCCCGCGGCGTCGGACACACAGCGGGCTCGTTAGTTACCACCTGCTTCTAAATCTTATCTTAAACGTCTTGATGTCTGTACATTTTCTTATTTAGATAATGATGCTTTAAACTCACTGTGACATTCATTTAGCCAACAGATTAAATAAAGCTTATGTGGTTTCACAGATCTGAGTGAGGAGATAAAATACAATTAAAGCTTTCCAGAGAAACATGGATTACTTCCAGGATAAATCAATTTCCAGTTGTTTCCATGTGTGTCTCTTTTTCTTATTAAATATCTGTATGTGTGTTTGCACTGCAGCGCCCTCTACCTGCACCACGCTGTAAAGAGAAACAGCAGCTTCGTTCCTTCGTGGTAATATTTCAGATGCTTTTTAATCCGCTGTGATTATTTATTGATAGATTTTATTATGCTAAGATAGAAATTGTTGCACCTTTAATGCTGTGGAAGTGGCTGACGGGTCTGCTGCCGCCGCTCCGGGGATGGCGGCCATTAACATGTCATTACACCAGCAATATCAGTAACACAGGGGCGGGCTGAGTGTGTGTGTGTGTGTGTGTGTGTGTGTGTGTGTGTGTGTGTGTGTGTGTGTGTGTGTGTGTATTTGGGGAGGAAAGGGTGATGGACTCTGTTACCATGGGAATCCTGACTCAGTGGGAGGGGAGGAGAGCATCAATCAGACATTTTGTGTGTGTGTGTGTGTGTGGTTGTGTGTGTGTGTGTCTATTTACCGACCATCACTCTGGTTTTAATAAAGGCCGGGCACAGAGGGGTGATGTGTCAGGGGCGGAGTGTGTGTGTGTGTGTCCAAATGTGCACTATCCTGGTGTTTTTTGTGTGTGTGTGTGTGTGTACGACCACACATACACTTAACATGTTCTCCATCCTTGTTGTGTGTGTGTGCGTGTGTGTGTGTGTGTGTGTGTGTGTGTGTGTGTGTGTGTGTAAAGAGGTGACTTATGTGTCCCTGTGCTGCTAAAGATCGCTCTGACCGCAGGACGGCCCTCGGTTCAAGGACGCACACCTACTGACATTGTGTGTGTGTGTGTGTGTGTGTGTGCGTGTGCGTGTGTGTGTGTGACAGATGGGAGATGAAGAAAGGAGCAGGTGTATTTTATATTCAAAGTATTTTTTAAAGAAAACCTCATTTACTTTTTTTGTAGTGTGCTAATGACGCCTCAAACTGCCTCTAAGACTTCCCAGAATCCCTTTCTCTCTCTCTGGAGTCCTGTTCACTGTTTTTAAGGAGGAGAGTCATAAGTTGAGGTTTAATGCAGATTTATGGACGTTAGCTCAGAGGTGGACCTGTAACCTTAGAGACAAAGAACAGACGGAGGCCAAGTCAAGTCCTAAACTTTGAGTTTGGTTATAATGTCCTCTCCAAATGTAACGCCATTTTAACGAACGGACGAAACAAAACAATCTTTGGTATCATTGTTTCCAGTAACGTTTACTCTTCGTTGTTCTCTCCTGAAACCTGATTGGATAATTGCTTCAACCAAATAGGATCTAGGGAATCAAGTGTCGACTTGCTGGGAATAAACAGAGTTAACATTCAGTCTTTGGGGGAAGGTATCCTGCAAATCCAAGTGAAGTCACGAGTCGTTGGTGTGAAAGTGTAAGTGGAGTCTCAGGTCATCAGATGTCTTCAGTCTGACTGGAGTCTACACCTCTGGTAATCTGTGTGCTAAATATACTTATGTCCTTCTCTCAATTTAGTAATTAATACTCTCCAATGAGTGAATAATTGGTGCTCGTGCTCTACTAAATCAAACCCTCCAATTACTTCATTAAGTCCCTCAAATTAACAGCTTCATTCATTTGTCTGTATTGTCTCCGCAGGCCGCTGAGATTTAATACATTTATCTCATTACCATCACACGTGTTCTGTGGAGGATTAGTTCAGGAAATCTGCAGCGTCGACGAGTTTTTAAAGGCAAAAAAATAAAGCAAAAAGCTTTAATATTGGAGATTGAAGTTGGAAACAACATCAGGTTGTGTTTTAAAAGCTAAAACAGAAACCTGAGGACCAGAGCAGGAGTGCAGTGTCTTCCCGGAGAGGAGTTCATGTTTAAACTATATTGCGTCTTCCCGCCGCTCCACGACGCAATATGCAATATGTCACATTATTGATGATAATCCAGGCAGCAGTTACGTTCCCATTCCTCCAAAACATGTTCAACAAAGCTAATTAGCAGAGCTGATCCGCCCTATACACTCACAAGGGCCCCGCCTCCCCCTCGTGCCAAAGCAGGTGTCACTGTTTACAACTCTGATGAGAGGATGAACGTGGGAACAGGAATCAGGTAAACTTGTGTTCTCTCCAGGTTTGATGTCAGTAAACAGCAGTGTGTGTCTTCCAGCGCTGAACGCCGACGCGGCGTTTATTAACTGCAGCTCGGAACAGATAAACCGCGTTCATATGCACGTCAACGAAACGAAACTCAAACTGTTCACTGTTTGTGTTCATTGTTCAGTTTATCAGCTGTTCTCTGCTGTTATTGTCAAACATTGAATATATTATTTGAAATATCCATAAAATATGTCACGTAGTCAGTTTACTGTTCGATATAAAAGGGGTCTCTTAATAAAGAAGGGTTGGGGACCATCGACGTACTTACAGCAGATGTACGTTTTATGTTTGAACTGTTTAATGGTGAATTCGTCCTTCGAGTAAAGACGTTTTTCCCTCTGAGGGACCTGCAGGCAGGTCGTCGGGGTCCTGTTATGTAACTGGGCAGACGGCGTCCCACCATCTGAGGGCACCTTCATCAAGAAGCTTCAATTTGCCGGGGCGGCCGCGGTGGATGTGACACCGCTTTTATTATGCCTCGGAGCCCAGCCTCATGGGGTCAACTATTGATCCGATCGGTTCATTCTGATCGTTTATCTTCCCGGCGGCGTCCCTCGCTTCCACGCCTCCCGCTCCTCAGCTCTCTGATGGATCGCCGCCTGATCGCTAACCAAACCAAAACCACAGCGATTTTCCATCAGTCAGTCAATTAGTGGAATGGACAGGTCACGCTCTTTCTCTCGGAAACAAAACGCTCAATGGGTAGGGGCGTCGCTGACGGCGTGCTGAGGAAAAGAGCCTCAGAGCTGCAGTTTCTGTGTCTTTTGTTTTGTTTTTTTTGTGTCTTGAATTGACGGTTTGACAGTCCTTTGTGTGCTGAGGGAGTTTAAGGAGCCTTCGGCTTTTCAAACCTGTAATTTGGAAAATGCATGGGTGTCACTGAGAAGAGCTCTTTCCCCTTTTTTCTCCAAAGACACAGAGTAAAGTCGTCTTATTCAGCGGGAGAATCATACAGCCGGCAGATCATTCACTTGTCCCACTTTTACTGTTTCTTGTTTGGTTTTCTTGTTTTCACCGTTTAAACCAATTGAACATGGACATGTTTGGGGGATATTCAGCTCTCCTCGGTTGTATCTGTGAGTCTTCAAAAATCTATTTTATATAAAAGTAAAGATGCTGTAAAACTTCAATTAACGACCCAGGCTTTTATTTGGAACAGGCCTCTATATTATTATTATGTACATATTTCATATTATATTTTTTCTATTTTCTATATAAATTGTTATATATTGTAATAAAATGTATATTCTTATTGTTATTAATTCTATTTCTTTAATGTTTTGTGACGTTACTCCCACAGATCATTAAAGCGGACAAATCCTAAAGTTGTTTTAAAAAAAAAGAAACATTATTTTTTGTTGATCGTCGCCTCCGACCAGCTGACAGAGTCCCTGGGGAGGTGTGTTTGTAATGGAGGGTCAAACAACCACGCCTCCTGCACCACCACCACCCCCCCCCAAACTTCCCCCGACCACACAGGACAGACGGCAGTGGGATGGGATTTAGTTCAAGGAGAGCGGAGGTCAACGGGTAGCCCGGGTCCAGGGTTCGAATCCCACTGATTAATCGTACTGGGCGTAATTCCTGAGGTCGTGAAGGAGCGTGGGATCATGGGAGTTGTTGTTTTCATTGTTAAACAGTGAGCCCTGGGGGGATTTACACCTCCTGTTTACACACTGGTGAGGGGAATCCAGTGAGAAGCCAGTAAACTGTATTGATTTCCCCTCATTGAATCTTAATCGATCACAGTGAAGACCTGTGAAACATTAACATCACGAGGCAGCTGGACTCGCGAGGTCTAACGAGCATCCATCTTGGATCTATAAAATACTCTATTACAAGTAAATGTTTTGCATTCAAAATATTACTCAAGTAAAAGTACATAACTATTATCAGCAATCGACCCGTCCTAAGTCTAGTGCTATGTGCTAGCCTCGTTGAAACGACAACCAAATTTAGAAGATGGTTAAAAGATAAAAGTGAGGTAATATTAGCAAAATGCTAGCTAGCTTTTAGTCATCTTCAAAATGTGGTTGTCTTTTCAACATAGATTAGCCTAGCATATAGCATATCTAAGTACAGGAAAGGAGGCTTACTCAACTGTTATTGGAGCACAGGGCAAAAAGGGGCGGGGCTTAGGAAGGATGAATTAATAATTAGTTTTAATATTCTGGTTGGACGACACATTTTGTTTTTATAATGTTGGGTAGTTTATCCTATAATGATGCATCATATTTTATTATTCCGTCATAGATTTTAGGTGAAACCTTTAATATGACACTTAAATACTAATTGGAAGAGTCAAACAAAGGTAAAAAACATTTTGTTGTGAAATATATGTTAAAACATGCCATAAAATGGATGTAAAGTACAAACAGTGAGGTACAGTACAGAGTAAATGTATTTCCACCACTGTAGACAGCAAACATGGATCCTCATCACAGCCCAGACTTATTTTTAACCGCCTACACTTGCTGCTGCTGATTAAGTTCATTAATGATATATGATGCTGCAGCCTGAAGTTTGTTTTATGAAGCATTTGGACTGACAGCACAATGAGACAAGTTCTGTAGTTAGAGCGCAGAGTTTTCTCCTGACTTTGCAAATGTGTCTGAATTTAACAAACACGCTTCTGCTTAGCTGAACAAACTGACGTAAAACCATAACTTTTAAACTTTATGTACCTCGACTGCAGAGACGGACTCATATTAGTCTTTATTTTTAATTCCACAGCTCTAATCCCATCAGTACAACACTGTCACACACCAGAGTTTCTCTCTCGAACGCACTGATTCATTCCCCTCACTTTCGACTTTGCAGTTCTCTTCCTGCGAAGATGTTTCACAATAAAAGACTGATATTGCGTAATCACTGCCCTTTTTCCTGGATAGCTTTTAATGTGAAACATGAACAGGAAGTGTTGATTGTACCGTAGCATCACAACAAATAAAAGTAGAATATATCGGATATATGTACCAATTTATATGAATCTGTAACTTCTTTTCTTTGTTTAAAAGAGAAGAAGGGTTAGGGTTATTATTATTATTATTATTATTAATAAATCTCTAAATACTGTTTACATTCTGATTCCTGGACATACTGTATCATGAGGACATTAAAATATTTTGATATTCTATATACTGACAGTAAAATAAGCCACTATAAACCTATAAAATATATAGGCATAAAAAAACTTAAAAAACTAAAAATACAGCGATATCATGTTAAACTGCCAGAATCTTAAAAAAATACAGGAATCTACATGTTTAACGTAAAATAACATGAAAATCTGCCACTGTAAATAACTATAAAACTATTTATGCTTTTAAATATTGTTGAAATACAATTTTTTTTTTTTTTTACAGATATTTATTGTTTATTTATCAGATGAAACGTTTCATATTGTTAAACATTTCTTAAATTAAGTAATGTATGGCTTTTTCTTGTTATTTCTTGTTTTATTTTATTTTGTAATTTTATTTTGTAATTTTCTTCCTATGTTTTTTTACTTCCTGTCTTAGGCTGTTTCGTCCTGGTTAGGTTCGCCTGTGTTTCATTGGTTAATTACTTCTTTTTGTATTGTTTTGTATTGCTTTCAGTTGTCAGTAGTTCCTGGTTTTCCTGTTGGTTCTTGCTCTTCCTGGAATGATACCTGCCCACCTTCCCCTGAACCTGCCCGTAACTCCTCAACAATCAATCACTGAAGTCATCCTGCTGCCTCTGCTGTCTGCATTTGGGTCCACTCCTGAGTTTGCACACAGAGAAATGTGTAATCCATTACTCTTTTTGAGTAACGACCCCAACACTGTGGGTAATTACGTCCAAGTTTTATAATATGATATAATATATGATGTTATTATCTGTTTACCAGAATAAATGACTCTTTTAATGAGCTGCGGGGACACGCCGTTAGCGTTGCAGACAGTATTCGGCTCATTAAAAAACGTTCAGTAACAAACCTGGAGATCGAATATAAAGGCTGATATTTTACCCAGCACACATTTCAGTTTGGGCTTCGAAAACTGAGTCATTATTTACATTTAGAGACACATCTTATACACGAAACCCGGGGGAAGTTACTACTCCATTACTGCAGTATGCATGCGTTGTTTAATCAGAGACATGCAGACGTCTTTTTACTACATTTACTTTAGTACAAGTTTGAGCTACTTGTATTTCTAATATTGTACAACACATTCACATGTCAGGCAATTAATGAAATAAATACCTATATAAAAAACATGTTTTTACTAATATAACTGGTCTCTGATGATTAAATGTAACTTGATTGGGAACACTAGCTAGCTACTACGCTAGTATTACACAGTACAAATGTAGCAGACGGTCAAGTGATCAATTTGGTTTCTATTTCTGGATATTGTTGTATTAATTGTTAATTACTAATCTGTACGTCCATGCTGCTGTCACACAGACGCCGCAGTAAATGTGATATCGCCGCCATTTTTTTTGTTTTTGCTCGGTACTTTGTAATTAGGTACAGCTGGATAAAGTTTCATCTCATTAAGTGAGGCTACGTGTCTGTGTGACGCAGGTCTTCTGTCGAGTTAGGGTCCATGCTGGTGTCCGTTATTGGGAACAACCTTTGTAATGTATGAATGTGTGTGTGTGTGGGTGTGAGAGAGAGAGGGAGAGAGAGAGAGAGAGAGAGAGAGAGAGAGAGAGAGACTCACGCCATGACGATGACGCTGAAGTCGAGCCAGTTCCAGGGGTCCCTCAGGAAGGTGAAGGGCCCCACACAGAAACCCCTCGCCAAGATCTTTATGAGAGACTCGAACGTATAGATACCTGTGAAGGTGTACCTGAGAGAGGGGGAAGGAAGGAAGGAAGGAAGGAAGGAAGGAAGAGGATGCACGACAAAAGAGGAGGGAAAGCAAGACGGGAGAAGGGAAGAGAGGAAGACGAGAATGAGGAAAAGGAAGGGATGGAGAAGAAGAGGAGGAAGACAAGAAGAGATGTGGGAGTGATGAAGATCAGCAGAGGAGAGATGAATAAAGAAAAGAAGAGGAAGAGGAAGAGAGGCAGGATGAATATTCATTAAACCAGCAGAGCCTCAGCCAAACATCCTTCACTTATTTATTTTGTCCCCAGAAACAAGTTCGACCCGACGGGGCGTCAACTCAACCGTACAGAGACAGACAGACAGACAGACAGGAGGAGAGAGAGACGGTCACACCGCCGCCGCCACAGCTGGAGGCCAACGGTGAAACATTAAAGGGTCAGTTCGTCCAAGTCACACAAAAACACACATATTTTACCCACAAACCCTTCTTATGTGAGATACATGCAGCTTTAAAGGCCCAGTGTGAAACATTCAGGTGTTTTCTGTTAAATGAAGAATCACTTTTCATGATGCATTCAAGTGTTAAAAGTGTTTTTCAGTTTCAAAGTTGTTTAATAAATCAGACAATAATGGTAGTAAAGTAAAATACACGTTGCTTTAGTTTTAATGCATTTGAGGGGAATTATCGATTATTATTGTTTTGGATGATTGCACCTAATGAAAATGACTTAAAATGATTAAATATAATAAATAGAATAATAATAATAATATTAATATATTTGCTGCTCTCACTGTAACACAGTGTGTTTAATGTCATCATCCTCCAACACTGACAGACAGATGGAAATCTTTATATACTGTAAGTGGGACAGCTCATTAAGCCACTGACAGACATCCAGTGCAGGTTGTAAACCAGGAGACTGGCATGGAAACAATGTCCAACACAGGATCTGAAGCTGTAAACAGGGGCGGCGTGGAGGAGAAATATACGCTGATTTATTCTCAAACGATCACATACATTAATGTTTTTATATGTGTTAATTTATTGTGTGTCTGTCTACATTTATTTATACATTTATTCATTATTATATTCATATATTCCACTGTTTTTGTGAACCTTAGCCTTTGATAAACCAGTTTCAAGCACCGAAACAATTAGTCCATGTGAGTAAATTAATTAAATGAGAAAAGATTTCACAAATCTGACTTCAATTATCCAGCTTTAGGGTCAAATTATCTCTTTACACAAAGCTTCAGGACAAATAGTGCCTCATTATACAGATAGCTGAGGTCTTTCTGCACATTTTGATATAAAACACGTGTTATTAAAGTCTCTTTCTAAAGGTGAATTTAAGAAGATATGTAAAATTCAAGAAAAAAAACCAAAAAACTTTCATGCCATTACGCCATCAGAGCCAAAGACAGACAGACAGACAGACAGACAGACAGACAGACAGACAGACCAGGTGTACTTACTCCAGGTATTTGGCCCAGTACGCCGGCTCCGACATGGCCATGAAGCAACAGTTGGTCAGGATGGTGCACATGATGAACAAGCTGAATAACGTGAGCAGGTTAAGGAAAAAGAAGGTTTTTATATCGTAGTCACACCTGCAGTGAACCCACACAGGTGATAGACGACGGTTAAACACAAAAGTTTCATTCATTGTTTAGCATCATCAGTCAGCCGGACAACCCCAGGTTAACTTAGGCTACAGTTAGCTAGTTAAATGTAACTCGTGAAAAATGTAACTTATTACTCTTTTCAAAAGTAATTAATATTTTACGACTAGTTTCGTCCACAATTACAGAATCCAAGGTTGTGATTAGATTTTAAATTAGTAAAAGGGTGACAACAAAAGTAAGTGTTTCTGGGGGTTCAGCTTTAATATTATTACTGGAACTTCTTAGTAATTAGTTACACTACTTGTTTGTCTGAATAACACAAATTAGCCTACAGTCTATAATTCAACATTGCGTATGCTGACCGGGACTCTGGATGAAGCTAACTGACTAATTTTCCAACGTGAGCTATAACACACTATTTATATTATCTACGAGCTAACATTAGCTAGTGTCACGCACTGTTTACACGTATAAATCGGTCCACTGGGAACAGAGGAAGTCGGGGAAGGTCTCATTTTGTTTGTTTGTTGGTGAGCAGGTGGAGGTGGAGTTCAGCACAGAAGACAATAAGTGACAGAAAGAAGTTTTAAGACTCAATTTAATGAACGTCTGTGATTTTACAGCTCTTAGTCAGTGTGGATAAAAGCTCCGAGTCAAATGTAAAATGTTAATGTCGTCAGTGTAACGCCGGCGATCGACGAGCTGAAGCTTTTATGTTCCCTCATTGTGAGTTTCTATGGAGAGTGTCAGCTAAACGCCTGAAATGTAAATGTAAAAACATCTCACTGTGTGTGTGTGTGTGTGTGTGTGTGTGCCAAAGTGATTTTACATGTGCTTTTTTTTTATTTAAATACCTTTCACTGATTTCCCATTAGAGGCTAAATAAAGACGAAGTGAACTGAAAAGGCTGCGGCAAGTTAGCACGTGTGTTTCAGCGCTCCCCTCCGATGCCTGCCACATTCAATACAGCAAATTAATATGCCATTAACGGCGCCGACGGGAGGACGTGGGGGCCCACTCTTGTCTAATCAGCATATAATGGGGAGCAGTAACTTTCCAAAAGTGTCAGAAGGCAGCAATACATGTTAAATATCACCTTCACCTGCCATGTTCAGCACGCTACACGCGACGAGGTGGGAGAGACTTGGTGAGGCCTCGCTCAGCTGTCAATCACCGCTATAAATGAATCATAATTATTATAATCTGGCAGGAGGAACATACTCCCCATGTGAGAGCGGGCCCCAAACTCCAGCTGAAAGTTGTTTGAGCTGCAGGGTAATTGTTGATTGAGTGCCGGGTGTAATGATGTTGCCTGAGCGCGGTGGCAGGCGGCGAGATAATACGGTTACCGATTGACAAACAACGCAAATGTCCCCCCGCCGCCGCCACCGCAGAGCCAGGAGCTAATTATCCCATAATGATAGCCCTGCTGTTATGGACCTCCCAGGCCACTGTACCGGTAATGTCATTATACCTCCCACATCCACCACGGCGTCCATATTCCTCTCTCTCTCTCGCCATCTTTCCACATTTGTCTCCGTCATTCTTCTACCTCTCTTCTTCCTCACCTCCATCACTTGCTTTTATTTTCTGTCAGGGTAGTAGCTGCTTTTATTTTGAAAGAATCAATTAATTGTTTAGTCAAAAATAGTGAAAATAAAGAGGTGAAATCCTCAAATGTCTTATTTTGTCCAACCAACCGTTAAAAACCTAAAAAAAGTTTGATTTATTGGGAATTATTATTACCTTACTATTATGTGTTTTATTATAAAATTTAATTTCAAATAATATATTAAATAAATAGCAGCCCATTTCGGCAAGTAAAACCAAAATAAGATGAAAAATAAAGCCTTAATAATAAAATAACCCCAATGTAAATATTTATTTCATAATTAAGAGATAAAAAGTAAAAATTATGTGATAAAAAGTTCTGATCACAGTAATAGTGGGTCTGTCAGTGTGGGACCTCTTGCTACGCCCAATACATTAACATAATGCTAATTCAGTGCTGACGCCACAATAACAATAACACAATATATAAAACTTCATTAACACGACGGTCCAGGCTGCTGATTCTGGATTACTGTTGGTTAACTTGTACTTGTACTAACAGTTCTGGCTAAAAAACAACATCAGGAATACGCTGCAGAAACTGTGTGGTGATATTGGCACAAAATTATGAGATAAAAAGTTCCAACTATGTCAGAATTAAAAGATAAAAAGTCAAATTATGAGATAAAAAGTCCAGTTATGAGATAAAAAGTCAGAATTATGAGTGAAAACATGTATTTTAGATTGTAATGTGCTTGTAATAACATAATCATAGACACAGACTCTTTGTTTGGATATTGGGATTATACATCAGTCGACTACACTCAGCAACATAAAGTACAAACAGTTCAAACACAACAAGACACAGCTGGCGGCTGTTGTGCCACTCTAAGGCGTCTGATGGATTAATGTGGTCCCTGAGCAAAGCCTCATGGGACACGGAGTCCAATGTCTTCCAGAATAAAGGCCCTCTGGGAAATGTAGTCACTGTTTTCTGTGAAAAACCACAGGTGGTGTCGATACTGAGGAGAGAGAGAACACACACAGTCTGTGTTTTCTAATAACCCGACCGCTTAACAATCGCCAGCTTTTCACAGAAAACTACTGTAATGACGTTTTAGCAATGCATGATGGGTAATTATTTGTAATTTTATTACCGTCAGCTGATGTGAATCGAACTTCAGTCAGTCCTCAGACTCGAGAACTGGGGATCACTTAGTAATTAGTTAATAATAATAGTAATAATTATTATATACTATTATAATAATAATAATTAGCTTAACGCTAGCCTGATGCTAATGTTAGTTTAACACTAAATCAACAGAATAAACTACCGTATTTTTATATTTCATTAATTAAGTCAAAATTATGAGATGAAAAAGTTTTCTAAACACTTTTAGCTCAAAGCTAACGTTGGTTTAATGCTAGCTTACCGTTCCAGTGCTCGCAGTGGGTCAGATAAATGTTGTGATTTTAATCTATATTAGTGTAAAATAACTGATTATAAACTAATGTGAAAGTACAATATTATATTTTACTGTGTGTGTGTGTGTGTCCACCTCACACCACCGCCTGTCACCGTGGCGCCGGTGTGTTTGGGCTCCGGTCCAGGACACACTTATAAAAGCACTCATACACAAACACACACATACTAAAACTCCACTTCAGCACCGCAACGTACAGCAACACACACGTTTCGTCTCTCATTATAAACACACACACACACACACACACTCAAACAAACCTCGCACATCAGCAGCGCCACACCTCCGACGGCGACCTCTTCCCCCACTTATCCCCCTGACAACATCAGCGTGTCCGCCGGCTCGACATCTCTCAACGCCAGCAGCCGCTTACCCGAGGTAAAAATAGACGAGTGCAAGGTGAGGGGATGGGAGGGGAGGGGAGGGAGGGGTGTCGAGGGGAAGGCTGTTGAGTTTTGTGTGTGAAGTAATATCTGTCATGTTGCCCCGAGGCGGACGCCGGCGCGGGAACGGGCTGCGGGCCCAAATCCCACAGCTGGAACTTTTAGATTCTCACGGACGCCGTTTCCACAACTGGAATTCAATTTAACGTCACAAAAATAACTTTACGTATAAACAGGAAAGCTTTAGATCTCGTTAGCTGCGGAGGTCAGTTCTCAACGTATCCAAGTGTTTTGCTACAACATGACAATACAACAACAAGCTTTAGAATGATGTTAGCTTTGACTTTGGATTTTGTTGTTATCTGTAACGAACAGAGAGAGAAGGCACGGTTTTTAAATTCATTTTTAAAAATGTCCTTCTAAGTTATGTTCGGAGTCTGTAGGTCATGTAAAGTGTTAAATATAAATAAATAAATGTATTTTGATTCATGACACTAGCTTCCTTTTTATTGTTTTGTTTTGTTTTACAATCCACCTTAATGAGTGTCAACCACATTAACGTTATTTAATGTGGGTTATTAGGTTCAGGTATCAGGTTAATCTCTTCAGTGTTCAGTATATTTATTAAAAGGTTTGTGGTTTTTCATTAAAGCAAAAATACAGAGTGCCATTAATCGCCATGTTGAGCAGCACTCAAGGTAATCAGGGTTAATTAAATAGACTTATAAGGGTCGTTTCACATTAATAAACCATAAATAACTGAAACTGCACCAAAAGCATTAAAAAGCCTTAATTAGAGTCTGAATGAATCAAAACCCTTGACTGTTTTAGGATTTGGCATTTTTGTGAATAATTAATCAGAGGAGAATAAATTTGGGTCGCAATGGGAGTACGTTAGCATAAAGGCTATCCCTCAACTTTGTGTATGCTAACCGGGAGTCTGAAATAAGCTAGCTAACAGTATTTTTCTACGTTAGCAAGCAAGATGAAGTTATTCAGATAAAACAAAACAAAAATTCACAATATGTACATTTAAGAAGCTTTGCAGTAATACACTACTCACAAAAAGTTATTTGTGAGTAGTGAGTAGATATTCGGCTTTCGGATTAAATTTCAGAATGTACATAAAATGCACTATAACCTTTCCAGGTGATCTTAATTTGAACTTCTCTACTGTAATGCCCTACTTTCATGATATAATATCACTGTAGCATCAACTTTTTACATTTTCATTAAATTTCACCCAAAAGTGGAATATCCCTAACCTTTTTGTGAGTAGTGTATTAGTTTAGATTTTTGACTTTGTGTGGCTGTCGGTAGATGTTAGTGGACTAACATCCACATTCCTACATAAATTAGCATAAAGCCCATCACTCAACCTTGTGTATGCTAACCTGTCAGCACAGAGCCCATCACTGAACATGCTGTAGTATCAATAAAACACTGCCAAGTGACGTCCAGTGTACACAAACCTTCAGTCTCTCTTACACATATACACACAGCACATGTATACACATGCTTTACCTTCAGCTTTGAGATTATCTTGCATCAAACATAATATGTTTACTGGATACTTCACTGGGGAGTGTGGCCAAAAATAATATCTTTAATAAAAAGCTGTTTTTATTTTCTACTCTGAAGGTATTTGCTCAATTAAACGAAGAAAATAGTGAAACAAGGACAAAAAATATTTTGTGCCTGCAAACAAACTCAAACATACTCAACCTGAATCAGTAACAGTCTTTAACTGTACAATGAACACTGGATTTGGTATCTCAGTGAACACATGAACTGCCACGTGCCAAACAACATGATGGGATTAACCGTCGAAGCCTCGTCACTTTTTACAGACGCCTACAGTGACAACCCACCCAGCCAGCGTCTATTTGTTTACATTATCAACCACGCTGCCGCCTGGGTGGCCTCGGCTGCTTGTACACAGCATCCTCCAACATACTGAACCCCTCCAGGCTGCAGGGATGCTGCTGTACCTGACCTCTGACCTCCCTTGCAGCCAATACCCCACAGTCAGCAGCAGATCATCACACGGTCACAGAGTACATACAGTAGCAGTAAGGATATGAGTGGACGAGGATCTTGATGGCGATTCTACGGATGGGGTGGAAAGGGCTGAAGATGTAGAGAGCTGACGTGGCACTGAATCGGAAGATGGCCTTCCCTTTGTTCAGGACTATGAAGGTCTGCAAGAAAGACAGAGAGAGGAAATGTATTATTCAGACGAACCTGACAGCTGATTCATGTGTTGTGCTCTCAAGCGCTGCTGCCACTTTTTGGCCATCATTTGTGGGACAACATTTACACTGACAGAGAAAGCAAGGATGTTTGGGGTTTTCAGTCTCAAAGCACTGGGGTTTAATTAATGAGGACACAGGCTTGCGGGGGGAAAAATAACATCAACGTACCGCTTCTGTCCAACGTCCGCAAGTTTGAAGAAGCTCATTAAACCAAGCAGGAACTTGCTTTTGCCTTGAATCATCACACAATGCAACATTAAATAAAAAATCTGAAACACATGCGACTGTAACCTGTACGGTAAATACTGCTCACCATCGGCATCTTGCAGGCAGATCGCTTGGTCTTTAGTTCCGGCCCGTTCGTGGTCAGTCCTATCTCGGCAAGCCGCTTAGATTGCGATCGAAACATAAGGGTTAAATAATAATGGAGGTTTAGAAAGTGAAATGGAGCAGATGCTTGTGGCTTTTACAGCTGATAACAGCACAGAACAGACCGCTGTCGAGCTGAAACTGGATTTCGTTGAACAGTTTCTTGTGTACAAGCTACAATTGTAGCTTTACGTACGGCGGGTTGCGTCAATCGGGAGGATGTCGTTCCGCAAATTATTAGAAGCATTGGCGGCAAGAATGGATATTTGGTTCCCATCTTTCTGCGCACTGTGCCATCTGTTCCTTGGATTCCCCGGCATAAATCTTTTTAAACATTCATGCTAGCGACGAGCGCAAGAGAGACTAAAACCTGGGCAGCGAGGGACAGAGGATTTTTTAGGACTTTTGGACCTGCCTCTACATTTGATTCATGTGTCACAAAGCTGTCTTGACATTTCACTGCCCAACAGAGTCACGCTTCGATGGATTGTTTGTCGCCAGCGTCCACAACAAGTGAGTGAGTCAGCCCGCCATTATGTGGACGACCTGAGGGGCTTGGCTTGCCTCTTTAGGTTTGGGGCACTGGAGGATGAACTGATAAGGGACCAGCTGGATGAACACATTAATAACCAGTCAGTCTGAGAGAAACTACCAAGGTCTCCTGACGACCTGACTCTGGCAAAAGCATTCCAGATCAAATCTACAGGCAGACAAGGATCTTAGCCTGTGCTATTCCCCCGAGAACAAGCTAAGACAGGCCTCCCCTTGCCCCAAGGTGCCAAATGCGAGGGCACACCAATAACCCAGACTTGTGGCTCCTCCTTCCCAGTGCCAGGAGCTACCCTTTCAGTAAGCTCCTCCTCCAGGTTTTTTCAAGTGGTTTAAGGTGGACTTAGATAAGGTTTACCTGCCATTACTGCTGGATACATGGGCCTTGGTTGTCACTGCTGATTGTCTCCACTGTCTCACAGCTCTTTTTGCCCCAATTTTTACCACTAGCACCTCCTCAACCCAGAGTTGCACCCACCCATCAAGCCCCAAATACACCAAATGTTTTCACTACACTCGAAAGCCATTTGTCTCACGCACAATCCCCCACCGCTTCCAGAAAATGATGTCCTCCCTATTTGCAGCAATCCCTGGAGTGGCCATCCATCTATCTAACACCAGCCCTGCATGATGAGTGCCTGAATAGAGTGCTTGATGTCCTTGCCAGCCACAACCTCACACTGACTGGGGAGTGAATTTTCCCGCCCACTATTGAGTTTGAGGGCCTCCCCAAGCCATCCTGTCCAGCCCAACAAGCCTCAAGCACTTCCTCTCCCAGTACGCCACAACCACGGCCGTGCTGTGAGAACCTCCAAAAAACAATGCAACCTGGACATAAACTTCTGCCTGTTCATCAACTCAAGGAGCAGCTCACCTTGGGTTGTCCTCTCCAAACATCAGCATGGCACTGACCACACCACCAACATTCGATCCCTCAAAACCGTTTAATAGAAGCAAGAAGCATAACCGCGTGGCCGGCACATCTACTCGTACCAGCAGCTCTTTCAATGTTGCTGTCCACGAGTTATCAGACATAACACAGTATAAATCTTGTACATTGACAGTCCTTTTCTTTGGTACACACCCAGTTTTACACAATCTTCTGGACTAATTTCTTGTCAAAGGCGCTTAAACTCTTTTACGTACATACAGTGTAATAAATGGGTTTACAGAACCACCACAGTAATAGCAACTTGTCAACTTCTGCCGACAACTTGGATTTGTTTATATGATATTAAAACATTTGGGTACCATTTCCTACTAAGGCACCCTTTACAAAACATTTATGAATGCTAACTAATGGCTACTAATGGTTAATGAAATATTTATTATTGCTTTGAAGATCAGTTAGAGTTGCCAGGAAGTAAAACATCTTTTACCAGGTGTTCATGCTTTATAAGTTACAAATCTTGGTAATCCATCAATGAATGAATCAATTTCACTTTATGTCAACATTTATTTACAATAATCATTGTAAACATTGACTGGAAATGTTAATTAGTTGTTGATAAATGGAATTTAGAGTTATTTGTCCATTAAAACAATTGTTTACGACAATCCCAAAGTTGTTCTCATTAATGATTTATCACAGATCTATAGCTATTAGTCACAGTTATTAGAAAGTGATACCTTCATCTCTAATTAACAGTTTGTAAGAATGTTATATTTTCTGCATCCTTTTATGCATTTAATATTGTTTTGTGATTTTTTTGTTGCATATTCATTTGCATTTGTGGATATTTTGAGGCAAAAATTGCCACCAAGATATGAAAACATCAAAAAGATAATAGACTTCCAGTGTTATTTTTTGGAAAAAACCTTCAATCGTTCTCATTCTGTGTGTCTCATTGTGTCTCTGACCTGGACACACAAAACCACAAGAATAGGGTTAATGTTGTTTATGTAAATCTTCTTTTGGAGCCACAAAACATATTTGAGACTTATAATTGTAATTTCTCGCTGCAGATCAAACATATTGGTAATCCAGCAGAGTTAGAGGAGAAAACAAACTAATATTTCTACCTACGCACTTTTTAATTATCTATTCTCCTCCAAGACATTCCTTTTTTGTATTTGAGGTCCATAGAGGACTGCATTGGGGTCCCGCAGGACCCAAAACAGATCTTGTGGGAGTAGGTAGTTCTGATTTTGCTGCAAGCGGGAACGGGCAATCAGAAAATAAACTGCGGGTAGCTGGATTTAGCTTGCGTCCAAATGCTAATAAATAACAGTTCTATATAATTTTGGGAGCCACTGGAGAGGGGCTAAAGTTGCTCCGGAGTTGCAGGGTGCCGACCCCTGATGTAGAAAATACTTCCATTATTTTTGTTTTAGAAGCACAAAGAGCAAAAAGCTCAAAAATCTTGAACTTTTCCTTGTATATGCACTAAAGGAGCATATACAGTATGTCTGGGGGGTTTCAGATGACCAGTATAATCCCCTGTCCTTCAGCTGCTGACTGAACATTGTGAACACAGTATTTGTGGTTTGTAGAAGCTGGCAGATGTAGTCATCTACCTAAATATCAAGAAAGCAGTTGTTGCTAGAGACCATTGATTTCTCATGCAAAGCTATTTAGCTCTGAGGGTACGTCTCTTAGTTGGGTCCGACCGAGGGCGGATAACGTACCCACCACAATCAAACTGCTCCAGAATTAGTTTTTTGACCAGACCGAGACCACGTCAACAAAAAAGGGTCTCAGTGCGGTTGTTTCTGTCCCGAGTACGATCGCTGTGTTCAGACCTGCCCAAATGAATCGTACTAAGGTGGAGAACGAACCGCAGTCAGATTTAACAGAACTGAACACACACCAGGTTTTGACAACACCCTGAAACAAGAAAGAGAGTGCAGGAGAAAGAAGACAAAACAGAGAGCGACAGACCACAGCAGGTGTAAACAAGGTCTGAACGAGAGCAGACGGGACCGGGACAAACTGTGGAAGAGAAAGAGAGGAAGAGGAGACACACTTTCTTCCTTCCACACACACTCTGTCACCTCCCCTCCGGTCTTCAGTGAAGTAGGCTACCAATTTATCTTCCAGGGATTCTCCAACAGAAGACGGGGTATTTCCAGAAAACCTTCACCCACAAACACACACACTCTTTAGGTCACCTACCCTCTTGTCTTTGAAGTAGTACGGGTCGATGTCTTCCAGGGGAACGCCCACCAGATGAGACGGGATGTCGGCGAAGATGCGCGGCAGCTGTTTTCCTGCCTCCAGGTCGGGCCGGGGCCGGAGGAGCACCACGTCGCCCAGGTCCTGAAACACATCACATCTGCCTGCTGAAGCTGCCTTACATCTCTTCATTTTAAACCAAATATCTCATCCTCTAGTTTGTTTTGTTTTAAGAGTTGTGTTTTGTCAGGTGTGTGCCTGCGTACCTCCTGGTAGTGTTTGTTGCGTCGGGCCTGCTCCTGGGCGATGCGCTGCTCGATGGCCGCCAGGGAGTCCGGCGTGAAGCGCTGAAAGCTCTCTGGTCCCATTGGAAACACACAGCCAGCCATCTTCTCATCCTGATCCTGCTGCTGACTGGCCCAGTTTACCAGCTGACAGAGACAGAGAGAGAAAAGACCAATACATAACTAATAATTAACTAATACTAAACAACTAAATCAACTAATATTAAATTATAAGACACCCTTCAGTTCCGCTCACTCTCAACAATTAAAAACTGCATCAGAGACCTGCAAAGGACAGTGACCTTAGAGGGTGTGGCGTCAACAGCGACCAGAGTGATTGACAGACTGACCACAGAAGTGTATCAGGAATGAGCTGATAGTCAGTGCTAACAATAGCTAACAGAGCTAATAAGCAGCTGCTGTCAGACTCTCTGTCTTCATGCTGGAGTCCGCTGGAGCTTTTACAGTCACTAGAAGCACATTCACGCTGTTTGTTAAAGTTTCTATGTGCTACCTGTTTGTGGCTAAGCTAGCAGCTCAGAGAGGCTAACTCTCTCTGGCATGTGTGAGACTGTCAGTGTGGGATCAAGGTAAGGATTGCAGTCCGTTGGTGTTTCTACAGCCGTACAAAACACAAGGCCGATGCAGAAGTAGAGGGTTAGCAACAGCTAGCAAAAACCTCTATACATGAGGCACCCACCCTCCTCTGATCAGAGGGCATTAAACACTCTTTTTATATATATATGTCTGACGTAAAGTAGTCCCAAACTGTCCACTCTGTGTCAGCATTTGACTTTCAAGGTTCAGGCTATTATAATAACACCAGCATTGATGTGTTTCATCTCATTACACTCATATAATTTAGATTGTTAAGGGTTCTTCTAGTTTGTCTCTTTCCTGGTTCAATGTGCACAAAAGCAGCTCCATAAAGAAATGGTTCTCTCAGTTGGGTGTAAAATAACTGACCTTAAACCCATCCAACACCTTTTTGGGTTCACCGGTGCTCTTGTGCCTGAGTGGGATCGGATCCCTGCTGCAGGATCAACCTGACACATGCTCACTCATTGTACTCGGCTGTAATGTTTGTGTGTCCAGATACTTTTGCACATCAACATACTGTTGCTAATATTAACAAAGGGGACACGCACAGAAAGCCCACTCGCTCTAATATGTTGCTATATCCACGTTATACAGTCAGATGATTATGGGATGTCCAGGTAATGAAGTGCAGGCCAACAATAGTGTCTCATTAACACTTGGGCGGTCGAGTATAGAGTTACAGTTAGACAGAGATTGACTATAGGATTACGCAGGGAGAGACGAGATTTCGAAGAGAGCAACACTGACAAAGTGTGAGGGTGTAACAGGTCTCTGTGTGTGTGTGTGTGTGTGTGTGTGTGTGTGAGTGTGTTCAGACCATCTGCCTTGGATCCTAATTGAATGATTAGACAGGCCTCGTTTTTCAACCCTTCATGCATTTATTCTTCACAGCTCCCAAATCTGATTTCTGAAGTGTGCGTTAGTGTGTGTGTGTGTGTATGTGTGTGTGTGTGTGTGTGTGTCCACATCAAAGGAAAATCTAGCTCTGTTTTCCATTCTTATCAAAAGCTGTCATCCACTCAGTCTCTCTCTCACACACACACACACACACACACACACGTATGTCAAGTACAGTAGGTCCTGATGAGCTGTTCGGTCCTGGTTTCCATTCTGCTCAGACACTTGGTCACGTACACGCTTGTTAGTACCTCTACGCCTGTCAGGACCCCCTCTGACATAATGCGTTCCCACAGTCGGGAGACAGATCTGAAGGGGGGTTGAGAAATGATTAACAGGATCCACAAAAAAAGCTCCACAGAACTTGTTTTGAGAGTACGGTAGCATCCAGGCTGTTTCAGTAAATAGTCCAAAGGCTTTGTTGCTAATGCAATGGAAAACGTGCATTGCAGAACCGATCTGAAGTAACTCAGGACACCCGTTTTCCATGTTTTAAAAGCTCTCTGTGTTACAAAGTGATTAGTTATATCTCCAGTTTCTTTCACTAAGGAGGAAAATGGGGGGAGAGCATCGTTTCAGGTAAGGCGTGTCCTCAGAGCCATTCAGTTTGTGGCTTTGATATAGCCGCTAATAGAAATATCTGATCGTCTGGTGTCAAGAGACTTGGGTTTTACCAGGAAAAGAGTGAAATAATGGACAGAAATCAAGCCTAGGATGTTGTTTCGACATCTTAACTCCAACCATCACAGCCCCATAATCTTAAACCTAACTCGAACCCCTAAAACCAAGTCTTCGCCACCTTTGGAAAGTCTCCTGACACTCATGGTCTGAACCTCAAACTGGTCCTCACAAAAGATCACGTATTTGACACATTCAGTGTCTAATCTTAGCTCAAACACTCCTGAATGAAAACTGTCAAACACACTCGTCTTATGAATGATTCATGGCGCTAAATTAACTCAAGAGGTCTAACAACCCTGAGCAGCGTTTGATTGGTCACACCGCTTTCTGACAGCGGGTCTGTTTCCACCAACCTTCTGACGGACTCGTACCTGCGTTTTTAACCAATAAAGGAGTTTGTAGTCCCGGTCTTTCAAACCCACATGATAGTTAATCTGCTGGTCCTTCCCACCTTCTCTTTTACCTCCATTATTCTCTTTTCTGACTTCCATACCTCCTCCCATCTCTCCTGTCCTGTTAAGCTTCTTCAAATAACGAACAGGCTTCAAACAAGCCTTCCTAACAATGAATCGAGAAAAAAGATAAAAGAAAAACAAAATCTAAAATAAAGGTTAAACTAACCTTCTTTCCATTCCTACATTGTCTTTGCTTCTCTAACTGTTCCTTTCCTTGTCGACCTCCTCCTGTCCCTGTTTTTATAACCCATAACCCTAATCCTTCCTATACACACTGACAAATACGTCCAAAGCTGACTTTACTTTATTTCTGAGCTTGCAGCGGGCTCAGTCTTAAAGCGAGCGTTAAGATTCTGGTATCATATGAAACTAGAAGGCCTAGGGCATCCACTGGTACCAACTATATTGTGCTAGTTTGTTGAGAATGGGGCTAAATAACACGATGTTAGGCGATGGCCTCAAGATATTTGAATGAAAATTGATTGTGTCCATGTTTCTGCATACTGGGGTCCATAAATTGGGTATGACTAGAAAGTTGAGACTCTTGAGGATTCAAAAAACTTGTATGGCCATATAGCACACGTGTATGTGCCATTTCTAGGTCTATGTTGACGCCACTTATTTCTCACCATATTTTAGTTCTTGTACATAAAACGGTGGGCCAGTTGAAGAGAGTGTTACATCATGTGGAGCTGAATGCATTCATTCTGGCAGCACTGCCCTACAGCGGGACGCTCAGAGTGATGATGACTTTGTTATTGTACCAAAAACACTTTGTAAATGTTCATATTGCTGAATTTACTGAACCACTCACATTGCACAGGTTCTTCCTTTCCTTCACTTTATGCTCTTTTAAGACGATTGACTATTGTTTTCTGTGACTTTGATTGCTCTTAATGACACTGGAAAGACAGTTTGATGTGTTTAATACAAACATATTGTTGTCTCGAGTTTACTCCTCTTCCTTCAGCTTCAGGCTGAACGTCGACAAACATCAAATTAACGAACAGACACTTTCATATCTGTTCGCCTTCAGTCTTTCTATGGACGTCACTGTTTTTAATTATGTTTCATTGTGTTTTCTTACTCATTGTGTCTTTGTGTTGTTGTTTACTACTTACAACTCTGTGTTATGGCCTCAAACTGCAACCAGACCTTTAGGTTTTAATAAAGGCTGAACTCAACTGACCTATTTTGTGTTGCATGTATGAACATGTGGATTACACAACCCAGTCTTCACTCCTAAGTCCTCAAATACTACTAAACCAAAAGGACCTGCATCCGGAAAGATCCAGCGATATACAAATGTATGGATCTGCATCCAGATCTGTACGCTGTATCGTATCCAGTCTGCTTACTGTCTGAACTCCACTCCCTCTAGCGTCACATCGGGATTCGCCCATCGTCAAAGTCAGTTTTCGTATCATCGTATTAAGAGCGGGAAAAGTGGAGGCGGTCGGGTGGTCAAATGAACAGGACTTTAACTCCAGAGACAGTTTGTCTCCCATATGAGACCAAAAGTAAACTTTAATTTATTTTAATTTACATACAGCAGGTATATAATGTAACTTCTGTTCCTAATTTTAAACAGTTTTTGTGTCTAAATTTAACCAAACTGAGACCGTTTCAGAACGTTAACCAAGCTTTTATTTTGAAATGTATTGCTACTAATTGAACCGCAGAGCCCTGCATGTCCAGAAATAACGTTGGGATTTCAACACGCTTAAAGAACCATTTAGGAGGAGCTATTGTCAGAAATTGAATTTAATATTCATAGGTATGTTTTCATTAGTGTATAATCACTTGAGTTTAGGAATATCGTCATGTTGAACCACCATGTTTCCAAGCTAGTCTTCCTACACACTGGTCCTTTAATGTCAGTACAAAGTAAACTAGACTATTTTAAAAGCAATTTATTTATGGTTGAACCTCACCTGTGTTTTATATGTTTGCAAAGTGATCAGCTTTTAACACCCAGCAGCCATCTTTGTTTAGCTTTTTTATTGGAGGATAATGACCACGGAGGAAGTAGGTTCCCTCCTAATACACCATCAGCTGCCTTGCTCAAGGGCAAACTTAACCTTTAATTCATTTCACAGCCCAGAATGAAACAGCGAGGTACAATAACAGACTGACTTTAACTACAGACACCAAGAGTGAAGAGAAGATGTTACGAAACAGAGAGCGACTGGATATATTTCTGGGTCAAAACACAAAACGTAGACGACACACCAACCAAACAAGCATCGCCCTCAGGAAGGACACACACACACACACACACACATACATGCAAATACACATGAAAACAGTCGCAGACAGAGTGAAGTACACACTGCAGCTCTTACAGTAACGTGTGTGTGTGTGTGTGTGTGTGTGTGTGTGTGTGTGTGTGTGTGTGTAAACCTGCAGCCATATAACACCTCACACCAACTCCCTGCATATTTCATGTAGTCAGGTTCAGGCTTCCACCATCAACTGTCCCCTAATATAAACATGGATGTGTCACGTATTATA